CCACTGGAAAGGCTATTTCAAGATGAACAGAATCAACTTTTTGGGAGCTCACAGATATGTTTACACTCATGTCAAAAGTCTTCAGACAGCTCACTGATGAACAGTGCAGTGGTGGCTTAATGTCTTTCTGATAACCATCTGAGCACATCCAAAATAATCAGAGGTCCACAGAGCAAAGATGTTACAGCAGTATTTATTTGAAGGAATAAACACCTACACTTTCCATGATGGAAAATAAGGATTGCAAAGATTAAGATATGAGGATGTGATGTTAAAGACTGTCTTCCTTAGGGATGGGAATTGATAAGAATTTTGCAATTCCGATTCTATTGTTAATATCACTTATCGATTCCCACTGACTCCACTTTGAGAGTCACCACCATCTCTAAGCAGCATATCAAAGACATTACATTCATGCAAATTAATTACATGCTGTGGGTCACATGTTTGTGCATGTTGGAGGTATTTCCCCTTACAGAACACTTTTCCTAAAAGTAATGCAGTACATTACTTAATTACACCCAGGAGAAAGACATTCTCGTTATGTTACTTTCATGTTACTCTGTAAAAGGATTTGAAACACACTGTCTCATAATCAGCATTTAACAATATAAACCTACAGGCTACAGCCCCACACACCAACACAAACCCCTATCCTAATGAGATCACACGTGATCTTTCTCTTAGTAATTAGGTATGAAAACAAATCAAAGATGAAAACCAGCACAATGACAGTCTTACTCTCTACTCACATTCACATTGATGCTGTAGAACTGATCACACTGAGCTTCACAGAGCAGACAATGATGAGCCAAAGCAAACTGCAAAACAACCCAAAGATACTCTTTAATGACTGAGTCAGTCAGCTGATCTCAGACCAGCAGAGCAACATTTCAGAATTCAAGTACAAAACTGAAGGCAGAGAGCAGAAACCAGCAGCAGCTGGAGGAAGAGACAGCATTTGATCTGTGGGTTCTTCATCAGTCAAAGGATTTTCATCAAGTAGTGAGAACTGTCCTTTGATGTAAAATTAAATTTGTTTGTAACGTTATTTTTAGATCCTCTGAGAATGAGGGACTGTGTAAAAAAATGTCTGTAATTCATGAACTGTTAATGTTAGACTGAAGTTAAACCCTGAATTAAAGCTGGAAGACTGTACTTAGTCACATCTCGATGGTTTGATGTAAAGTCCGTTATATTGGTGCACAGATGCAGAATTATAGAAACCATCCTTGTCCAAATAACTATGGACCTGTACAAACTTTTATTTTGAAGTCATATCCCTTCTTTCCTGTATGGACAGGAACTCCCAGCAGTGTGTGTGAGACTATGGGGAAGGCCGACGTGTGGCTCATCAGGACGTTCTGGGACATTGAGACGCCACGGCCGACCCCACCAAACTTCAAATACGTGGGCGGTCTACACTGCAAACCGGCCAATCAGCTGCCAGAGGTGTGAGCTCTGATTGCACACACTTTTATTCTGAAATGGGACAGGTGAGTGTTGATGTAATGATGATGTCACATCTTCCAGGACCTGGAGGCATTTGTGCAGAGTTCAGGTGATGCCGGCATAATTGTGGCTTCCTTCGGCTCCATGGTAACCAACCTGACGATGCAGCACGCTAACATCATCGCCACCGGCTTCGGTCAGATCCCACAGAAGGTCAGAAGCTCCACCTACTCACAGACAAACAATCAGGGACTGGGCTGTCAGCAGATATTGATTGCATCATTGATTACTTTCTGCAATAATCATCAAAAAAAATACCTGCGGGCAGAAGAAGCTCAGATGGTTTGTTTCATCTTTGACTTGAAGAGTGTTTTCTTCCTTTCAGGTGATTTGGCGTTACCGTGGCGAGGCTCCAACTGCATTGGCTCCAAACACGAAGATTTCTGATTGGATCCCTCAGAACGACCTGCTGGGTATGACTCATTCATGATGTCATGGAATTTCAAAATAAAAGCTCAAATAGGCCTCTTATCCACTTGCTAAGTGGCAACATACCAAGCCTCCTTCCAGGTCCAGACTCCTCCTGCGTGGATGATAATCCTCCTGTGGATGGCTTATCATTTATGTCCGAAGTGATAACAGTATATTTTATGTTTTTGGTGGTGGTTGGGGGGGGGGTAGAAATCTCTGTCAGTGCATGGTGTATCTTTACATAGAAGCTAACTAGCTGACTTCCCGTTAACTTTAAACTCTGTTAAATTTTATAAATCTTGGATGCCTGTATGTTAAACTTTATTTAAACAGGTGTGAGAGAAGCCAAACAGATCATTTCATTGAGGATGAAAGAATTTTGGCTGTTTTTAACTCAGTGATGTCCAAGTGTTTATTTGAGTGTGAGAATCTTTGGTAAGTTTTGACTCAGAAATGGCAACTAACATAATCAATATTTGCAAAAAGATGTTCTTTCACAATAAAAGCTCTGTATTTTTTTTGTCCTCAGGTCACCCAAAGACAAAGGCATTCGTGACACACGGCGGCACTAACAGTCTATATGAAGCTGTGTTTCATGGCGTGCCTCTGGTGGGCATGCCGCTGTTTGGCGATCAGCCTGATAATCTCGCCCGTATGAGCCGCCTCAGCACCGCCATCGTCCTGGACTTCAACCATCTGACAGCTGAAGAGCTGGCAGAGGCGCTGCACGTCGTCACAAACCAGCCATGGTAAAGGTGATTTTAGTGTGGAATTGTGTTTGTATATTTCCTGTTAATAGTTTCATCTTTGTACATTTGGACCTGTTTAATAACATTTTATTTAATAATTATGGATTGGATTTATATAGCGCTTTTCAAGGCACCCAAAGCGCTTTACAATGCCACTATTCATTCACTCTCACTGATAGGTTTTGTATTGTTGATTGTCATTTATGCTTAGAAACATTTACTCATATATGCTTAGAAGTGTATAATCATTTGTAGGTTGAAAGAATGTCTCATCCTAGGAGGTCTGTAACGGCTCTGTGTAGCATGAAGGGGGAGTGCGTTCACTCCCTCTACAGAGTGTTCTGGCGTAGATCACACCTCCTAGGAGAGGTCGTATCTTCTCTTGCTGATATATGGTATAGCAAACACACGTATATCTGTTTAAGTATAAGAGCCCTTTGTTCAGATAGATCTGCTAGACGCCTGGCACCAGCTAGCACCAGAGTCTTCACAGGGTCACACCTTGACCTCACACACACACACACACACGTACACAGTATTCTTTGTTCACATGTATACCTATGTAGACGTCATATGTTAATGAACCTATGCATATTCATGTAACCTCAATAAAAGAACAGTGGTACGGGAGAACGGACGAGAGCAACTGGGGTCAGGCGAAGGAACGGTGCTTTGTCCGGTCTCTCCCGTGCACGAGAAACATGAAGAACTTTGCCTACTGGTGTCTTGCTTTGCAGTGTAATTATATTGTCCTCAACGTTCCAGCGGATAGGTTCAAGCTACAAACCTATCACTCACATTCACACACTGGTGGAGGCAGCTACAGTTGTAGCCACAGCTGCCCTGGGGCAGACTGACAGAAGCGAGGCTGCCATATCGCGCCATCGGCCCCTCTGGCCAACACCAGTAGGCAAGTAGGGTAAAGTGTCTTGCCCAAGGACACAACGACCAGGACAGAGAGCCCAGGGATCGAACCGGCGACCTTCTGGTTACAGATGCGATTCCCAACCCCCTGAGCCACGGTCGCCCCATTTCCTGTCTTTGACCTGATTCCTTCACAGTAAAAGTGCACTACTGTTTAACAGTGAAACTGTCATATGACTTCCTGTTTGTTTACCATGCACAGCTACAGGACCAACATGCAGCGTCTGTCAGCGGTGCACCGCGACCAGCCAGTAACGCCACTGAGTACCGCCGTCTTCTGGGTGGAGTTTGTGATGCGACACGGTGGAGCTAAGCATCTGCGGTTGGCATCATACGACCTGAACTGGTTCCAGTACCACAGCTTGGACACCGGTGCTGCCCTGCTGGTCGCTTTGATGACCGTCGCTGCTTTGTGGTGGGTGGGGATACGCTGCATCCTGCGGCAGTGCAGACGGCGAGCAGGAAGAGAGAAGAAGGACTGAAGAGAGATTTCCTGTTTGCACCGTCCTGTTGGTATTTACAAAGGAGAGTCTAGTAACAAGACTATGTACTCTTTGACGTCATAAAATGGAATTTTTAAAATCTCTATGAAGATTTAATGACTCGTTGGATACTAGATAAAATTTTATCACAATGCTGAGCACATATCAATATGAGTTTTATACAGAAACGTTGAAGCTTCAGTGTTGTTTTTTTTTTTATTACAAGTGATTCTTTCCCTGCTCACCTTTGTATGCAAAAATCGGGATGGTCTGCCCTCACAAGCTGAAGAGAGCAGCATTGTGCAGTCTTTATGAGTTTACTACACTAACCAATCACATCCACTTACAGTCAAACACAGTGCTCACATAAAGCTCTCCTTTTCCACTGGAACATTTTCAAAGATTATATTTATGTATCAGAGGTCACACCTGCACCAGCATTTCTTAATCGCTGTATCTGTGTATTCTGGCTATACATGTTGATTGTGCAGAAGTCTCCTTGGACAGAAAGGTCCTGATCACAGTGAGAAACCTGTAAAACTAAAGGATGTGGAAATAAACTGCTGTACTGGAGTTTTTCCTGGGTGCTGCTGTGTGGTTCACTACTCTAAATGTAAATGTTACTTAGAGTCAGTCACACTGCAGAGGGTTTTCAGCAAACACAGTTACCGTGAGTGGCTTTATTTATATTTTCACAGACTAAGTCTGATAATGAAAAAATTGCAGTTCTGAGCCTGTGGTTAAAGTCACCTGCTGTAAAAAATGTTATCTGAACTGAGCACTGACTCTGATGAACCTCTAAGAAATGAGAAAACTTGAGAAACTGTGAGTGAGGTCCAGCAGGACAATGAATAAACAGATTTCTGTGTTTGCCTCAGGCTTTGTGTTGTCATCCAATCAGAGCACAGCTCTCACCTGCAGCTGACCTCTGAGCAGATTGGACTCTGGACCTGCAGTTTCAGTCTGACTGGATTTGCTCACAAACTCAGGATCTTTTTGTTGTTTCACACATGATGCAGGTTTCCACGTCTCTTCCTCTTCTTTTTCTTTCCCTCACCCTCCTGCTCCTTCATCCCGTCTCCCCGGTACATGGTGGCCATGTTCTGGCATTTCCGGGAGAGTTCAGCCATTGGTTGAACATGCGGACCATCATAGAGGAGCTGGTGAAGAGGAATCATTCGGTCACCATCTTAGTGCCCGATGCTTCGCCGTCTGTCAACTACAACAACAGCCGTGACACTGCCAAGTTCAACTTCCTGGTCTTCAAGGTAACACTGCCGTTTATACAGCGTGTTTGTAGTCACCCAAAGAAGATCACTGACAATCACTTCCATGGATATTAGTGTCCTTTGAACATTGCTACACATTAGTTAAGGGTTTGTAGTACCTCCCATGAAAAGTTTGATCATCAGACACTTTCACTTTCTTTGTCTGGAAGAAATCATGTTTTTTGTCAGATAACATCCATTCATTAATTTTAGTAACTGCGTATCTAACTCAGCATCACAGGGTCAATTCCAAGTGAAAAATAATGTGTTGATGCACTCAGGCTTTCTGCATCAATTTTAGATATTTATTGTTATCTTTTCTCTATTCCACTCTGTGGTGTCACAGTGCTGAGGTCTGTTAATATTTGGAGTCTTGGTTTAAGTTTTGATTTCATTATTTTTCTGATGGCAATTTTCCTAGAGGCTTTGAATATTTGTGATATTGCAGAAGTCCCAATCTTAATTATTCCTAATAATTGTATGAATTTTTCCTGTAGTATGCTGGTACCTGTTTTTTTGTTAAAGCTTTAGCCCACTGTGTGTTTACAGTCCTGTGAGAAGCAGGTTAAAAGTGTAAGTTCATGACAGCTGTGAGGGACCAAGCAGCTAAAGCATAGAGGACACAGGAAAAAATGTCTTCAAAAAGGGTTTTCTTCATTTTAACCCTCAAAAAAGTTCAAAAGACAAAATTCAAAAACATAACTAGCAGGCCCATAAAAGACGCCAACTAAATATAACTCCACAAAAAGTAATTTCTAGAAACTTAAACAAACAAAGTGGACACAACTTAACTCACAAACTGACCTAGATACAAAGACAAGAGGGTAGCTTTTATAGTGGTTTGGCCAAACCATTTACACACAATAGGGGAAAATAAAAACACACACTAATATTAACTAAGCACAGAATAACATAAGTAAACCTAAAACACCCCTGTTCCTGATAAGCACAAAGTTGGCCCTGCTGAGCAGGCATTTTGTTCTCAGGCTCCTCAGCCACGCCTTTTGCCCAGACAGGAAATAGCCACTGCCCAAAACCAGGTAACTCAAAGAAAGAGAAACATAATTAATATAACAGAAAACATTTTTAGAAAAACCACACAATGCTATTATGCGTGCGCCTCATAAAATCAGTGTTCGGTTTAAATAAAATAATTAATGAATTATATTAATGGAAAAAAACTGCAAACCAAACTAATAAAGTGAACAAATGGACTGATTTACCCATGTGTGGCTGATGCCATCACAACAGCACAATTTGAAACACACTGAACAAATATGGCTGAAGGGATTTCAGGAGAAATCATCTTCTCTCTGAAAAGAACATTGCAGCATGATTTATGGTTGCAAAGCTGCATCTGGACAAACCACAAGGCTGCTGGATGTCATGGTCTGCAACCTGCTGCCCGGCATTCTGTGTTTTGGGGTTTTAAAGTTCTGTTAAATTGTTTACTTAAGTTTAGATTTCATGTATTAGTCTACAACTTCTGTTATATCCTTTGTTGGTTGATTTTGGTATTTGTAGTAATCTTTTATTTTGAGTCCAACTAGTTTTTTTGCTCCTTTCTTGCTTATAGTAGTTTGCATTGTATTCCTGTTTTAGTTTGTCCTGCCTTCCCTGTGTTCCCCATGGTTAGTTAATGTTTTGCCTCTCTCTGTGTTCCCTTAGTATTTTGCCCTCCTCTGTCAAGTTGCTTGTATTAATTTCATTAAGGTGATTGTGTTTTCTCTGTTTAATTATTACTTCCTGTTTTACTTTGAGAGAATTTGTGCTCCTTGTGCTTTGCTTTTAGTTTTGCTTCCTTTGTCTCGTCTGCTCTGATTTGGTTCACCTGTGTCTTGTTCTCCACAGCGGTCTCCACTTCCCCTAATCACCCACCTGTATGTGTATTAGCTGTGTCCCAAAACGTAGGCTGCATCCTTTGGAGGACGTGGCCTTCGCGGTCTACGTGGGCCGGGTCCTTCGAAGACCAAGAAAGCCGGAACTGCGAGGCTGTAAAATGGGACAGTTTAGCCTTTCAGATTTGCGTCACAGCTGTCTCGGTGGAGTTTAATAATCTCAGCCATCTGCTCCTTACTATCTAAAATATAACAGGACACTGGCATAAATTCTCGACCGTCTCACACTTCTGTTTAATCAGTTTTCTGTTTGACGTTTATTCAGCTGTGTGAAAATCCTGGAGGAACCCGATGGATTAATAAAGTTTTATTTAATCTAATCTAAGATAATAACTTTGATCTCAGCCAAACTGATTTACTCTGGAACAAATAAAACACCGAAAAAGGAAAACAATTACATTTTTAAGTTATCTGAGTGCTTATATATCATGTTTAACCTGAGTAGGTAAAGACAGCGGGGGTCTGAAAACGATGAAGCCAGGAGTCCGCTGCTCTCGCTGGGTCGAGTGACCATTGAACCCCCCGGCTAGCTATCGAGCGGGTGGGTAACAGACGTCGGAGCACTTTTACAAATATGCAATGTCTTGATAAACCAAGCAGATATTTAAAGTTTACACAGCTACTTTCTCGCCTGAAAATATGTTAAAAGTTTATTTTGTGACCCAGAAAGAGTAATAAGAGTAATATTAAAACTTAGTAGCGGCTGCCATTGTTGGAAACTGGAATTGGCTGGGCTATGGCGGGCCACGAAGGACACACCCGACCCATCCTTCAAATTCGGGGAAATTAAGGACGCATTTGTCGGCCGCATTTGAAGGGGTCGACGAATTGGGTCAGCCTTCGTCGCCTGGCTGTGACGTAATCGGCCTTCAAATGCGGCCTCTGAAGGATGCAGCCGACGTTTTGGGACACAGCTATTGTCTCACTCTCCTTTTGTCAGAGTGTCAGTTCATCTTCCCTTTTGTCTCTCAGCTCCAGTCCCTCCTTGCCCAAGTATCACTTCCCAGTTTACGGCTTTGAGTTTCGTTTTGTGCTTTATATTCTACATTGTATTTTTCCCTACAGCCAAATGGCTCGTGAGTTTACCACAGCCTGCCTTACATGTCTGCATTTGGTTCTTCAACACACATCACCCTTTGCAATTTGTGACGGTATACTCTAACCATAAAATGGACCCAGACACTATCACAGAGGAGTTTAGAGAAAAGAGAATTGTCCGGGAAACCAGTCATGAAGTTTCACTGATCAGCAAGGAGGTGGCTAGCAAAGGTGGACCACCTCTGGTGGTTTGGCCTGGGGCCAGCATCAATGTGGGAGGAAACAGGACAGCTCTGGAGGCTGCCATCAGTGAAGGTGACCAAGCACTATTGGTGGCTTGGCTGGACACTGATGGTGATGTCACAGGGTGGAATGGACAAAGTTTAAGTTGATATTTTTATTTGCTTGCATGTAGTGATGAGTTTTATTCTTTGATATTTTTAGCGTGTAGTGTTTTATTGTATTGGGTTTTTGCATGCTTATGTTGTGTTATGTGATTTGTTCCGGGGGGATGCCCATTCCACTGCCCCCTTCCTGATCATTAACCTGGCACATCTGGGGTTGGAGATAGCTATTTAATAAGAGAGAGCGTGAGAGGGGAAGAGGAGGAGAGACATGGCGTGGTAACCGGTGTGGGCGACGGCCGCGCAGAGCGGCACAGATGCCCGGCTATAGGCAGCAGGCCGAGGCATGCGGCAAAGGAGAACGAGACCGGAGATCGCAGACGACCGCGCACTGGAGAGAGTGATCGGGGCTGAGCGGAGAGGTCTGTGTTGGTGTTGACGGGAGGTAGCTCCTCGCAGAGAGAGGCCCACGGCAGGGGATTAAGAGGCAGCGGGATGGTGCCTTATGTCCCCGGGACGGTGAAATTATGGCTACGCGTGTGAAGCACAACACAGTGGTGGGCGGAGTTAGGAGCTCTGCCCATCCGGGGTAAGTCCCGATCCATCCCGTCTAAGACGAACCTCCAGTGGAATCTAAGAATGGTGACTGCCGCTGGCCCTCTCTCCTTTTTCTAGTTGGCACCAGAATGAAGAGGCAGACAGGACGGCGACGATCCTGTTGGTTTCTGCACCGTTTGAATTTTTATGGGACTTGACCTCTATGGCTTAGGCCATTGCATTTTGGCTGTATAGTTTTAATTACTTTTAATGTTTTTAACTTCATGTTCCTGCCTGGCCAGAGTATTTTAGTGCTTTCTTTAAAAATAAATTATAGTTTTAGCAACTCGTGTTTATGTTTACTACTTCCCTTGGCTGCTCCACTGCTCTTCCCGTCAGAAGGGTTTCCCTTCTGTGTTAAACTTATGTCCCCTGTGAATCCACCTATGACAGTGTCGGTGAGGACCCCTCTGTGACTCAAATGCCATGGGACATTGAATTCTGGCTCAGGCCCTGCACTCTCAGGCAGAGCGGGAACCTTTGACTTAGGTGGCATGGGACCGATAGGTTCTGCTGAGGAGCCAGGGATATTGAAGACTCGGGGGACGCAAAAAGCTGATGCTAGCCCCAGCTGATGCAAGTGAAGGTTGCGTAGGCTGGGACTGGACTCATAGCTGACTGTGGAGGCTATGGCAGCGCTGCAGAACATGCAGATCTCCTTAGAGACTGACGCAGCTGGGACCCACCTGCCCCCACCCTGGGAAAAAAACATTGGGTGCAGGAACAAGCTGGACCTAGCCACCCCCATTCAGGGAGTGGGGATGGGTGTAGGGTTCTCATACTCAGGGGAGGCCCCGGGTAGATCATCAGTCTCTAAGAGTGCAAGTTGTGATACATAAATATTGTCTGGAAGGACCTGCACATATGCCCTAATAACAGTCTTAGGAATGTAGGCAGTGAACAGTGAAGAGTAAACAGTCTCTGGGAATCCAGGCTCAGGAGCATAATAAGCAGTGCTCTGCTAGGGCTTGCTTAGGAATATCACCAATGGACTTAGAATGAGCTGACTGAGACACACAATGAGCAGTTGCTGATGAGACTCGGGTATGTTATTATTCATTTCTCAAAAACTTTAACAGTTTTAGCCCCTATAGGCTCAAACAATAATGGCTTGGCTTTAGCA